CCACTTCCGCTTCCATTTCCAGCTGCTTTGAGGCAAGGTGCCTCTGTATCACGTGCACCAGCCAATGCACGGCCTCCACGTCCATTGCTCGCCCGAGTGCTTCCCTTCGCTTGGCTTCCTCCACTCCTGGTGCTGCCGTGGCGTCAGGGACGAACCCCATCGCTAGCTCCCGCTCCCTGGCTGTGGGCTCTTCCCAGTGGTCCTTCAGCCGGTCATACACCATGTCTGGGCCTGGCAGCCCCTCGCTCCACACGAAGCCATGTGCCTGGTGATGCGCCATGAGGGTGGGCCATGCTTCTCTCGGCAGCCCGGGCTCGTTGCACTGGAACTGACTTGGATGATCCGGCTTAATCACCGGCGCTAGCTCCCGGTGAGCTTCCAGGATATCTTCCACGGGGCGCGATGAGGGCCTTTCGCTCTGTATGAGCTCCCACCTGAGTCTCCCTTCCGACACCCCATTCTGCCAATATCTTCTGACCCTGTGCGCGTGGGACCCTTGCTGCACCGCATCCCACGCCACTCCCGGTCCTAGTGCTTCTGCCACCACTTCCATCATTCGGTGCACCAGCTCCCTGCAGTCGGTCGAGAAGTCTGGGTTCTCCACGATTTACAGGTACTCTCCGTGCTGCTGGTACATCAGCTTCATGACTCGCAGCAACTCCAAGAAGAGCGTGGACCTGGGGTCATCCAATCCTTTGCCCTTCCCAGCCCTTGACACTCCCTAGCATTCCCATCCCGCCACGAGCAGATCCACCCTTCCCCACCGCCGCACGTACTCTGCCGCCACTTCCCTGATATCGTTGATCAATTCTTCTTCCGCCTCTGCCTCCACACTTGACATCAGTTGAGTCGGGTAAATTCCCCTGAGCTTCCTTGCGTGGTTGAAGGCCATTCTGCGCACCACAGGGTCTATTTCCACCAGTACCCACTTCTTCACTCTGCACCCCGCCTTTAGTGCTGCCGCCAGCCCAGTACCGATCCCTCCTAACAGCTCGACGATGGTGATTTGTTCCTGCAGGCGAGTCAGATCTGTCAGCCGCGGGGGCAACGCCAGGGGCCGCTCCGCCCTCTCTTCTTCCGCTTTGCGCGTCTCCCGCTCCAGCACGTACTGCTTCCAGGACCAGTCCTCTATCTGTTCTTCCACGTCCGCCATGCGCGCTCGAAAGGCCTCCCTTGGCTCACGCCTGACGAAGTGTACTGGCAGCGTGCCCACGGGCCCGTCGTCCCTCCAGTACTGTGCTCGGTAGAGAACCTTCTCCTGCCAGGTGCAGATGGTGGCGCCCACCCGATACAATAGCTCCATGCCTATCAGCAAATCGAAATCTTCCGACGGCGAGATGCCGCAACGCATCCAAATTCGGCATTCATCCTTAGTGTCTGGCTGCAAGATCACTTCCACTGGTATGCGGGTGCAGGGCATCCACTTCGGCTCTCCCCCCTCCGCAGTCATGACCAGAATGCCGCGTGTAATGAGCCGGTTCGGCTGGTCCAGCTCCAGCCTCTGAGCCAGGCCTTTCCCTAGAAGGATGTGATGCGCTCCCGTATCGATGATGGCTTGCGCCACCGTCACTCCTCCTACCGTGATGGCCCCCTTTTCGATTGTCAGCACCGATGGCTGACACACCATGCGCTCCTTGGGATGCATTTCTGACGTCATTTCTTGCTCCGGTTCTGCCGCGTACCCACGAAACCGCCGCACCCTCGGGGCTGGCAGCTGCCTCCTCTCCACTCGATCACTCCTGAGTTCAATCTCCTCTCGCTGCCGCGGGGCCCGCACCACGAGCACAAACTCTGCTTCGCTACCCCCTCCTTCCTCCTCCTTTGCCAGCATGGCGGGCTCCTTGCGAGCCAACCCTTCCAACTCCCGAATCCTTGCTTGCAGCACCCGAAGCTGCGCCTCCAGGTCTTTCTCGTTCCTTCGTCCTGCTGAAACCGGCCTCCGGCTATAGCAATCAGAGGTGCGATGCCCTCACCTGCCGCAGTTCTCGCAGGTGGGGAGTTCCGGACATTCCCGGCGCATGTGCCCTTCCCCTTGGTAGTGATCGCACCTCGGCGGCCTGCTGCAATCCCGCTGTAGATGTCCTTCCTGTCCGCACCGATGGCACCTGCGCGTCTCCGCATCTCATGCGACCCGCCTGCTGGATGATTCTTCGGCTGCGACAGGCGCCTAGGCTGACCTGCGTCGTTCCTCGGCCTGCATGCCGCCTCTCTCCATTTTGTAGAGGCGGAGCCCCAGCTCGTGTTTCTTCGCCAGCTCGTACGCGTGCTCCAGTGTCGCCGATGGTCCCATCTCGAACACCCTTCCTCGTATGTCTCCGGCCACCCGCTCGTCCAGGCAGTTAAGGAACTTGGAGACCAGCCTCCACTCATCTCTGCATTCCATGTCCGCCGCGAGCTCGCGCAGTCTGCCGTACGTTGCCAGTAGAGACTCTCCCGCCTTCCTTTTGAACGACGCAAACTCCCTCATACGCTCTGGCGTCTGCACGGGAAAGTGGCGCTTTAGCGTGTCAAAGAACTGCGTCACCACGTCCCAGGTCACTCCGTTGGCTTGCGCCGGCTCGCTCAGCATGCGTTCCAGCTCCATGCCATATGCAGTTTCCGCCTCTCCTGTCACCGTGTTTGAGAGCCCCCGGAAGAAGTCTTCTGGCTCCAACCCATCCTTCATCCAGCGGTACTGCGCGTTGCGGATCTGCATCATATAATTTTACAGACTGCTGCCCACGCCCGGCGTGCCCGCGAAGCGCTCGGGAACCTCGATCTTGGGTAGCGCGGCGTACCTCACGTTGCCCGCCCGCGTTACTTCCGTCGCTTGATGTTCCGACAAGGAGAGACGCCTCAAGCGTCCGAGCAGCTCGCCGTCGGTGCAGCTCTCCCCCCGCGTTTCTGCCCTGCGTGGCAGTGACCCCAACGCGGTTGCTTCTACCAGCGGTCTCCCATTCGAGCTCTCTCTTGCGTCTCGGCCTTCGCTCGGCAGGTCACTCATGCTGTGCCTCCGATGCGGTGCCGTGTAGGTTTCCCTGTGGGCGCCGCCTTCCATTTTGCCCGCTCGCGTACCTCCACTGCTACCCGGGACTTCTCCCGCTCGCCATCCTGGCGTAGCCATCGCCGCCAACACCGGCGGCCGTTCGTAACGCTTCCCAGACCGTGTCTGCATGCACCATCTATGGCTCTTTAATCCAGAGATTTCCTTCGTTGTATGTCAGAAAATCTCCTCACTGCTAATGACTGACAAGCTGGTTCCCTAGCGTGCTCATGATCACCTGTGGTTGGTATAACAGGATTACGTTGAAGCGAATGGGAAACATACAACGAAGCAACCAGCACTAGGGTTTCAGCACAGCTATGTACAACATGACTCTTCCGCCCTAGCCTAGCGCTTCTAGCACACATTCATCACATGGGCGAGGCTCGGGGGTACCGAGTCGTATTTACAAACCGCAGGCGGTCTGGATCTGCATGGGCTCCAGCACGAGCCCTCCGCCAGCTGCACGCTTGGCTTGCATGTTGCACTGCAGCTCCTGCCACCTGTCGATTGCGCTGTGCTTGTACGCGTCAACAGCGTCTCGCCCTGTACAGGAAACGTAACATACGTCACACAAAAGAAGCATACACCCCAACCCGTATCCCAACGTTCACACGCGAACATTCCTGGGTGCTATAATACAATTATGTACACTGCTCCTCCTTGCCTCCGCCCTCCATCCCTGTCCCTCCCCCGTTCTTCCTCCCTTCTGATTCTGCCTCTGCTGCATTCCTGCTGCTCTACCGCCGATAAACTCTTTGCGCTGTCCCGGTTATTATGTGGCCCTCCTAGCTTCATAAAACCGCGACAAATGCTTGCCTTGTGTCGCAAACAGAGACTGGAGCACAAAACGAAGCACATCGCTCTTTGCTACTTTCTTGCTCGAGAGTTGCAGCAGCGTGGTCAGCTTCGTCTTGTCTACGTGGCCTCTCAGGCCAACACTGCTGATATCTTCACCAAGGCACTTCAGCCTTGTGATCATCAGCGGTTCTGCACTGTTTTAGGGCTTGTTCCCACTTTGCCTCACTTGCTCATTTCTTGACTTTGAGTGTACTGTGATCTCTATATATACCTGCCTGCTTACACTTGCTAGGTAGTGATCACTATCTGTGATTTATAATCCTGCATGTGAACTAGCCTTGTGGCTGCTTGCTTGTGCTCGGAATGTGTGGTGACATCGTGATCCACCCTGAGCTTGCTTTGTTTCTCTTGACTGGTCTTGTGACCTCTTGTTCTCCCCCACTTTGCCTATGGGGGTGTGTTAAACTTATATGGTGCAGTTTGTGTAGGCTGTAGTGGGGTGGATTATACAGGGTACAACATTGTTAGGGTTCCCTACTTGTACCCATCTCTTTTCTAGTTCATTCATTCCTCAAACTATTCTCACGAAGCGCAGCCACACAATTCGGCGGAAGAAAAACGCTTGGAACGAGCGCTTCCAGCCCAAAAACGCGGATGGATCCGCACATGTGCATGAAATGCAGCGGGCGCTCTTTTCGCTAGCGCCGATCATTGATGATGCTCGCCATCCTCCCACGCCCTTGCTGGCTTGGTGATATGCCCAGACGCGCAGCCACGTGGCGCAGCGGATGAAAAACGCTGCGTAGGGAAAAGCATTGAACCACCTGAATGTTACTGCATATTCGAGTGGCTCAAGTTCAAATTCTCCTACTAGAGCCTTTTCGGCTCGCTTCTTGCGCAAAGAAGAGTTCGGCGCCTATGATTTCGGCCGTTTATGCCGACAAAAGCATAGAATGCGCATGAATCCCTCGAAGCGTAGGGAAAAGCATTCAACAAGCTCAATGTTACAACATATTCGAGTGGCTCAAGCTCAAATACACCTATTAGAGCCTTTTCGGCTCGGTTCTTGCGCAATGAAAAGTTCGGCGCCTATGATTTCGGCCGTTTTTGCTTATAAACGCATAGAATGCGCATGAATCCCTACAAGCATAGGGAAAAGCATTCAACAACCTGAATTTTACTGCATATTTGGGTGGCTCAAGTTCAAGTAGGTGATGGAAAGCGCGAGAATGTGGCGGGGTGATGGAAAGCGGGAGAATGGGGCGGGGTGATGGAAAGCGGGAGATCGGGGCGGGGTGATGGAAAGCGGGAAAATGGGGCGGGGTAATGGAAAGCGGGAGAATGTGGCGGAGTGATGGAAGGAGGGCGAATGGGGCGGGGTGATGGAAGGAGGGAGAATAGGGCGGGGTGATGGAAAGCGAGAGAATGGGGCAGGGTGATGGAAAGCGGGAGAACGGGGCCGGGTGATGGAAAGCGGGAGAATGGGGCGGGGTGATGGAAAGCGGGAGAATGGGGCGGGGTGATGGAAAGCGGGAGAATGGGGCGGGGTGATGGAAAGCGGGAGAATGGGGCGGGGTGATGGAAAGCGGGAGAATGGGGCGGGGTGATGGAAAGCGGGAGAATGGGGCGGGGTGGTGGAAGGCAAGAGAATGGGGCATGGTGATGGAAGGCGAGAGAATGGGGCGGGATGATGGACAGCGGGAGAATGGGGCGGGGTGATGGAAGTCGGGAGAATGGGGCGGGGTGATGAAAAGCGGGAGAATGGGGCGGGGTGATGGAAAGCGAGAGAATGGGGCGGGGTGATGGAAAGCGGTAGAATGGGGCGGGGTGATGGAAAGCGGGAGAATGGGGCTGGTTTATGGAAAGCGGGAGAATGGGGCGGGGTGATGGAAAGCAGTAGAATGGAGCGGGGTGATGGAAAGCGGGAGAATGGGGCGGGGTGATGGAAAGCGGGAGAATGGGGCGGGGTGATGGAAAGCGGTAGAATGGGGCGGGGTGATGGAAAGCGAAAGAATGGGGCTGGTTTATGGAAAGCGGGAGAATGGGGCGGGGTGATGGAAAGCAGTAGAATGGAGCGGGGTGATGGAAAGCGGGAGAATGGGGCGGGGTGATGGAAAGCGAGAGAATGGGGCGGGGTCATGGAAAGCGGGAGAATGGGGCGGGGTGATGTAAGGAGAGAGAATGGGGCGGGGTGATGGAAAGCGGGAGAATGGAGCAGGGTGATGGAAAGTGGGAGAATGGGGCGGGGTGATGGAAAGCGGGAGAATGGGGCGGGGTAATGGAAAGCGGGAGATTTGGGTGGGGTGATGGAAGGAGGGAGAATGGGGCGGGGTGATGGAAGCAAGGAGAATGGGGCGGGGAGGGAGAATGGGGCGGGGTGATGGAAGGAGGGAGAATGGGGCGGGGTGATGGAAGGAAGGAGAATGGGGCGGGGTGAGAGAAGGAGGGAGAATGGGTCGGGGTGATGGAAAGCGGGAGAATGGGGCGGGGTGATGGAAAGCGGGAGAATGGGGCGGGGTGATGAAAAGCGGGAGAATGGGGCGGGGTGATGGAAAGCGGGAGATTTGGGTGGGGTGATGGAAGGAGGGAGAATGGGGCGGGGTGATGGAAGGAGGGAGAATGGGGCTGGGTGATGGAAGCAAGGAGAATGGGGCGGGGTGATGGAAGGAGGGAGAATGGGACGGGTGATGGAAAGCGGGAGAATGGGGCGGGGTGGTGGAAGGCGAGAGAATGGGGCGTGGTGATGGAAGGCGGGAGAATGGGGCGGGATGATGGAAAGCGGGAGAATGGGGCGGGGTGATGGAAAGCGGGAGAATGGGGCGGGGTGATGGAAAGCGGGAGAATGGGGCGGGGTGATGGAAGGAAGGAGAATGGGGCGGGGTGAGAGAAGGAGGGAGAATGGGTCGGGGTGATGGAAAGCGGGAGAATGGGGCGGGGTGATGGAAAGCGGGAGAATGGGGCGGGGTGATGGAAAGCGGGGGAATGGGGCGGGGTGATGGAAGTAGGGAGAATGGGGCGGGGTGATGGAAGGAAGGAGAATGGGGCGGGGTGATGGAAGGAGGGAGAATGGGTCGGGGTGATGGAAAGCGGGAGAATGGGGCAGGGTGATGGAAAGCGGGAGAATGGGGCGGGGTGATGGAAAGCGGGAGAATGGGGCGGGGTGGTGGAAGGCCGGAGAATGAGGCGTGGTGATGGAAGGCGGGAGAATGGGGCGGGATGATGGAAAGCGAGAGAATGGGGCGCGGTGATGGAAAGCGGGAGAATGGGGCGGGGTGATGGAAAGCGGGAGAATGGGGCGGGGTGATGGAAGGAAGGAGAATGGGGCGGGGTGAGAGAAGGAGGGAGAATGGGTCGGGGTGATGGATAGCGGGAGAATGGGGCGGGGTGATGGAAAGCGGGAGAATGGGGCGGGGTGATGGAAAGCGGGGGAATGGGGCGGGGTGATGGAAGTAGGAAGAATGGGGCGGGGTGATGGAAGGAAGGAGAATGGGGCGGGGTGATGGAAGGAGGGAGAATGGGTCGGGGTGATGGAAAGCGGGAGAATGGGGCAGGGTGATGGAAAGCGGGAGAATGGGGCGGGGTGATGGAAAGCGGGAGAATGGGGCGGGGTGGTGGAAGTCCGGAGAATGGGGCGTGGTGATGGAAGGTAGGAGAATGGGGCGGGATGATGGAAAGCGAGAGAATGGGGCGGGGTGATGGAAAGCAGGAGAATGGGGCGGGGTGATGGAAAGCGGGAGAATGGGGGGGGGTGATGGAAAGCGGGAGAATGGGGCGGGGTGATGGAAAGCGGGAGAATGGGGCCGGGTGGTGGAAGGCGGGAGAATGGGGCGTCGTGATGGAAGGCGGAAGAATGGGGCGGGATGATGTACAGCGAGAGAATGGAGCGGGGTGATGGAAGGCGGGAGAATGGGGCGGGGTGATGGAAAGCGGGAGAATGGGGCGGGGTGATGGAAAGCGGGAGAATGGGGCGGGGTGTTGGAAAGCGCGAGAATGGGGCGGGGTGATGGAAAGCAGGAGAATGGGGCGGGGTGATGGAAGCAAGGAGAATGGGGCGGGGTGATGGAAAGCGGGAGAATGGGGCGGGGTGATGGAAAGCAGGAGAACAGGGCGGGGTGATGGAAAGCGGGGGAATGGGGCGGGGTGATGGAAGTAGGGAGAATGGGGCGGGGTGATGGAAGGAAGGAGAATGGGGCGGGGTGATGGAAGGAGGGAGAATGGGTCGGGGTGATGGAAAGCGGGAGAATGGGGCGGGGTGATGGAAAGCGGGAGAATGGGGCTAGGTGGTGGAAGGCCGGAGAATGGGGCGTGGTGATGGAAGGCGGGAGAATGGGGCGGGATGATGGAAAGCGGGAGAATGGGGCGGGGTGATGGAAAGCGGGAGAATGGGGCGGGGTGATGGAAGGAGGGAGAATGGGGCGGGGTGATGGGTTTAGGGTTTAGGGTTTAGGGTTTAGGGGCGGGGTGATGGAAAGCGGGAGAATGGGGGGGGTGAGATGGAAAGCAGGAGAATGGGGTGGGGTGATGGAAAGCGGGAGAATGGGGCGGAGTGAGGGAAAGCGGAAGAATGGGGCGGGGTGATGGAATGCGGGAGAATGGGGCGGGGTGATGGAAAGCGGGAGAATGGGCGGGGTGATGGAAAGCGGGAGAATGGGGGGGGGTGATGGAAAGCAGGAGAATGGGGTGGGGTGATGGAAAGCGGGAGAATGGGGCGGAGTGAGGGAAAGCGGAAGAATGGGGCTGGATGGTGGAAGGCCGGAGAATGGGGCGTGGTGATGGAAGGCGGGAGAATGGGGCGGGATGTTGGAAAGTGCGAGAATGGGGCGGGGTGATGGAAAGCAGGAGAATGGGGCGGGGTGATGGAAAGCGGGAGAATGGGGCGGGGTGATGGAAAGCGGGAGAATGGGGCGGGGTGATGGAAAGCGGGAGAACAGGGCAGGGTGATGGAAAGCGGGGGAATGGGGCGGGGTGATGGAAGTAGGGAGAATGGGGCGGGGTGATGGAAGGAAGGAGAATGGGGCGGGGTGATGGAAGGAGGGAAAATGGGTCGGGGTGATGGAAAGCGAGAGAATGAGGCGGGGTGATGGAAAGCGGGAGAATGGGGCAGGGTGATGGAAAGCGGGAGAATGGGGCGGGGTGGTGGAAGGCCGGAGAATGGGGCGTGGTGATGGAAGGCGGGAGAATGGGGGGGGGTGATGGAAAGTGGGAGAATGGGGCGGGGTGATGGAAAGCGGGAGTATGGGGCGGGATGATGGAAAGCGGGAGAATGGGGCGGGGTGATGGAAAGCGGGAGAATGGGGCGGGGTGATGGAAAGCGGGAGAATGGGGCTGGGTGGTGGAAGGCGGGAGAATGGGGCGTGGTGATGGAAGGCGGAAGAATGGGGCGGGATGATGTACAGCGAGAGAATGGAGCGGGGTGATGGAAGGCGGGAGAATGGGGCGGGGTGATGGAAAGCGCGAGAACGGGGCGGGGTGATGGAAAGCAGGAGAATGGGGCGGGGTGATGGAAAGCGGGAGAATGGGGCGGGGTGATGGAAAGCGGGAGAATAGGGCGGGGTGATGGAAAGCGGGAGAACAGGGCGGGGTGATGGAAAGCGGGGGAATGGGGCGGGGTGATGGAAGGAGGGAGAATGGGTCGGGGTGATGGAAAGCAGGAGAATGGGGCGGGGTGATGGAAAGCGGGAGAATGGGGCGGGGTGATGGAAGGAAGGAGAATGGGGCGGGGTGATGGAAGGAGGGAGAATGGGTCGGGGTGATGGAAAGCAGGAGAATGGGGCGGGGTGATGGAAAGCGGGAGAATGGGGCGGGGTGATGGAAAGCGGGAGAATGGGGCTGGGTGGTGGAAGGCTGGAGAATGGGGCGTGGTGATGGAAGGCCGGAGAATGGGGCGGGATGATGGAAAGCGAGAGAATGGGGCGAGGTGATGGAAAGCGGGAGAATGGGGCGGGTTGGTGGAAGGCGGGAGAATGGGGCGGGGTGATGGAAAGCGGGAGAATGGGGCAGGGTGATGGAAAGCGGGAGAATGGGGCGGTGTGATGGAAAGCGGGAGAATGGGGCTGGGTGATGGAAGGAGGGAGAATGGGGCGGGGTGATAGAAGGAAGGAGAATGGGGCGGGGTGATGGAAGGAGGGAGAAAGGGTCGGGGTGATGGAAAGCTGGAGAATGGGGAGGGGTAATGGAAGGAGGGAGAATGGGGCAGGGTGATGGAAAGCGGGAGAATGGGGTGGGGTGGTGGAAGGCGGGAGAATGGGGTGGGGTGATGGAAGGCAGGAGAATGCGGCGGGATGGTGGAAAGCGAGAGAATGGGGCGGGGTGATGGAAAGCGGAAGAATGGGGCGGGGTGATGGAAAGCGGAAGAATGGGGCGGGGTGATGGAAAGCGGGAGAATGGGGCGGGGTGATCGAAAGCGGGAGAATGGGGCGGGGTGATGGAAAGCGGGAGAATGGGGACGGGTGATGGAAAGCGGGAGAATGGGGCGGGGTGGTGGAAGGAGGGAGAATGGGGCGTGGTGATGGAAGGCGAGAGAATGGGGCGGGATGATGGACAGCGAGAGAATGGGGCGGGGTGATGGAAGGCAGGAGAATGGGGCGGGGTGATAGAAAGCGGGAGAATGGGGCGGGGTGATGGAAAGCGGGAGAATGGGGCGGGGTAATGGAAAGCGGGAGAACGGGGCGGGGTGATGGAAAGTGGGAGAATGGGGCGGGGTGATGGAAGGAGGGAGAATGGGGCGGGGTGCTGGAAGGAAGGAGAATGGGGCGGGGTGATGGAAGGAGGGAGAATGGGTCGGGGTGATGGAAAGCGGGAGAATGGGGCGGGGTGATGGAACGCGGGAGAATGGGGCAGGTGATGGAAAGCGGGAGAATGGAGCGGGGTGATGGAAAGCGGGAGAATGGGGCAGGTGATGGAAAGCGGGAGAATGGGGCGGGGTGATGGAAAGCGGGAGAACGGGACGGGGTGGTGGAAGGCGGGAGAATGGGGCGTGGTGATGGAAGACGTGAGAATGGGGCGGGATGGTGGAATGCGAAAGAATGGGGTGGGGTGATGGAAGGCAGGAGAATGGGGCGGGGTGATGGAAGGCGGGAGAATGGGGCGGGGTGATGGAAAGCGGGAGAATGGGGCAGGGTGATGGAAAGCGGGAGAATGGGGCGGGGTGATGGAAAGCGGGAGAATGGGGCAGGGTGATGGAAAGCGGGAGAATGGGGCGGGGTTTTGGAAAGCAGGAGAATGGGGCGGGGTGATGGAAAGCGGGAGAATGGGGCGGAGTGTGGGAAAGCGGAAGAATGGGGTGGGGTGATGGAATGCGGGAGAATGCGGCGGGGTGATGGAAAGCGGGAGAATGGGGCGGGGTGATGGAAAGCGGGAGAAAGGGGCGGGGTGATGGAAAGCGGGAGAATGGGGCGGGGTGATTGAAAGCGGGAGAATGGGGCGGGGTGATGGAAAGCGGGAGAATGGGGCGGGGTGATGGAAAGCGGGAGATTGAGATGGGGTGATGGGAGGGAGAATGGGGCGGGGTGATGGAAGGAGGGAGAATGGGGCGGGGTGATGGAAGCAAGGAGAATGGGGCGGAGTGATGGAAGGAGGGAGAATAAGGCGGGGTGATGGAAAGCGGGAGAATGGGGCGGGGTGATGGAAAGTGGGAGAATGGGGCGGGGTGATGGAAAGCGAGAGAATAGGGCGGGGTGATGGAAAGCAGGAGAATGGGGCGGGTGATGGAAAGCGGGAGAATGGAGCAGGGTTATGGAAAGCGGGAGAATGGGGCGGGGTGATGGAAAGAGGGAGAATGGGGCGGGGTGATGGAAAGCGGGAGAATGGGGCAGAGTGATGGAAAGCGGGAGAATGGGGCGGGGTGGTGGATGGAGGGAGAATGGGGCGGGGTGATGAAAAGCGGGAGAATGGGGCGGGGTGATGGAAAGCGAGAGAATGGGGCGGGGTAATGGAAAGCACGAGAACGGGGCGGGGTGATGGAAAGCGGGAGAATGGGGCGGGGTGATGGAAAGCGGGAGAATGGGGTGGGGTGATGGAAGGAGAGAGAATACGACCGGACAAAAGCATGCAACCGGACACAAGCATGCGACCGGTCACAAGCGTGCGTCCGGACACAAGCATGCGACTGGGCGCAAGCATGCGTCCGGAGACAAGCATGCGTCCGTACACAAGCATGCGTCCGGACACAAGCATGCATCCGGACACAAGTATGCGACCGGGCGCAAGCATGCATCCGGACACAAGCATGCGACCGGGCGCAAGCATGCGTCCGTACACAAGCATGCGACCGGGCGCAAGCTTGCGACCGGGCGCAAGCATGCATCCGGACACAAGCATGCGTCCGGACACAAGCATGCGTCCGGACACAAACATGCGACTGGGCGCAAGCATGCGTCCAGGAACAAGCATACGTCCGGGTGCAAGCATGCGTCCGGGCGCAAGCATGCATCCGGACACAAGCATGCGACCGGACACAAGCATGCGTCCGGACACAAGCATGCGTCCCGACGCAAGCATGCGACCGGGCGCAAGCATGCGTCCGTACACAAGCATGCATCCGGACACAGGCATGCGTCCGGACACAAGCATGCGACCGGGCGCAAGCAAGCGTCCGGACACAAGCATGCGTCCGGACACATGCATGCGTCCGGACACAAGCATGAGACCGAGCGCAAGCATGCGTCCAGACACAAGCATGTGTCCGGACACAAGCATGCGACCAGGCGCAAGCATGCGTCCGGACACAAGCATGCGACCGGGCGCAAGCATGCCTTCGGACACAAGCATGCGTCCGCGCGCAAGCATGCGTCTGGACACAAGCATGCGTCCGGGCACAAGCATGCGTCCGGACACAAGCATGCGACCGGACACAAGAATGCGACCGGGCGGAAGCATGCGTCCGGACACAAGCATGCGTCCGTACACAGGCATGCGTCCGGACACAAGCATGCGACCGGGCGCAAGCATGCGTCCAGACACAAGCATGCGTCCGGACACAAGCATGCATCCGGACACAAGCATGCGACCGGGCGCAAGCATGCGTCCGGACACAAGCATGCGATCGGGCGCAAGCATGCGTCCAGACACAAGCATGCGACCGGGCGCAAACATGCGTCCGGACACAAGCATGTTTCAGACCCAAACATGCGACCGGGCGCAAGCATGCGTCCAGGATCAAGCATGCCTCCGGGCGCAAGCATGCGTCTGGGCACAACCATGCGTCTGGAGACAAGCATGCGACCGGACACAAGCATGCGACCAGGCGCAAGCATGCGTCCTGACACAAGCATGCGACCGGACACAAGCATCCGACCGGGCGCAAGCATGCGACCGGGCACAAGCATGCGTCCGGACACAAGCATGCGTCCGAGCGCAAGCATGCGGCCAGGTGCAAGCATGCGTCCGGGCGCAAGCTTGCGTTCGCACACAAGCATGCGTCCGTACACAAGCATGCATCCGGGCCCAAGCATGCGACCGGGCGCAAGCATGCGTCCGGGCGCAAGCATGCGTCCGGGCGCAAGCATGCATCCGGACACAAACATTTGTCCGGGCGCAAGCATGTGACAGGGCGCAAGCATGCGTCCGGACACAAGCATGCGTCCGGACACAAGCATGCGACCGGGCGCAAGCATGCGTCCAGGCGCAAGCATGCGTCCGGACACAAGCATGCGTCCGGGCACAAGCATGCGTCTGGATACAAGCATGCGACCGGACACAAGCATGCGACCGGGTGCAAGCATGCGTCCGGACACAAGCATGCGACCGGGCGCAAGCATGCGTCCGGACACAAGCATGCGTCCGGACACAAGCATGCGTCTGGACACAAGCATGTGTCCGGACACAAGCGTGCGTCCGGACACAGGCATGCATCCGGACACAAGCATGCGACCGGGCGCAAGCATGCGTCCGGACACAAGCATGCGACAGGGCGCAAGCATGAATCCGGACACAAGCATGCGACCGGGCGCCAGCATGCATCCGGACACAAGCATGCGACCGGGCGCAAGCTTGCGACCGGGCGCAAGCATGCATCCGGACACAAGCATGCGTCCGGACACAAGCATGCGTGCGGACACAAGCATTCGACTGGGCGCAAGCATGCGTCCAGGAACAAGCATGCGTCCGAGTGCAAGCATGCGTCCGGGCGCAAGCATGCATCCGGACACAAGCATGCGTCCGGACGCAAGCATGCGTACGGACACAAGCATGCGTCCTGACGCAAGCATGCGACCGGGCGCAAGCATGCGTCCGGGCGCAAGCATGCGTCCGTACACAAGCATGCATCCGGACATAGGCATGCGTCCGGACACAAGCATGCGACCGGGCGCAAGCAAGCGTCCGGACACAAGCATGCGTCCGGACACAGGCATGCGTCCGGACACAAGCATGAGACCGAGCGCAAGCATGCGTCCAGACACAAGCATGTGTCCGGACACAAGCATGCGACCAGGCGCAAGCATGCGTCCGGACACAAGCATGCGACCGGGTGCAAGCATGCCTTCGGACACAAGCATGCGTCCGGGCGCAAGCATGCGTCTGGACACAAGCATGCGTCTGGACACAAGCATGCGTCCGGGCACAAGCATGCGTCCGGACACAAGCATGCGAGCGGACACAAGCATGCGACTGGGCGGAAGCATGCGTCCGGACACAAGCATGCGTCCGGACACAAGCATGCGTCCGTACATAGGCATGCGTCCGGACACAAGCATGCGACCGGGCGCAAGCATGCGTCCTGACACAAGCATGCGACCGGACACAAGCATCCGACCGGGCGCAAGCATGCGACCGGGCACAAGCATGCGTCCGGACACAAGCATGCGTCCGAGCGCAAGCATGCGGCCGGGTGCAAGCATGCGTCCGGGCGCAAGCTTGCGTTCGGACACAAGCATGCGTCCGGACACAAGCATGCATCCGGGCCCAAGCATGCGACCGGGCGCAAGCATGCGTCCGGGCGCAAGCATGCGTCCGGGCGCAAGCATGCGTCCGGGCGCAAGCATGCATCCGGACACAAACATTCGTCCGGGCGCAAGCATGCGACAGGGTGCAAGCATGCGTCCGGACACAAGCATGCGTCCGAACACAAGCATGCGACCGGGCGCAATCATGCGTCCAGGCGCAAGCATGCGTCCGGACACAAGCATGCGTTCGGGCACAAGCATGCGTCTGGATACAAGCATGCGACCGGACACAAGCATGCGACTGGGCGGAAGCATGCGTCCGGACACAAGCATGCGTCCGGACACAAGCATGCGTCCGTACACAGGCATGCGTCCGGACACAAGCATGCGAGCGGGCGCAAGCATGCGTCCAGACACAAGCATGCGTCCGGACACAAGCATGCATCCGGACACAAGCATGCGACCGGGCGCAAGCATGCGTCCGGACACAAGCATGCGATCGGGCGCAAGCATGCGTCCGGACACAAGCATGCGACCGGGCGCAAGCATGCGTCCGGACACAAGAATGTTTCGGACCCAAACATGCGACCGGGCGCAAGCATGCGTCCAGGAACAAGCATGCGTCCGGGCGCAAGCATGCGTCTGGGCACAAGCATGCGTCTGGAGACAAGCATGCGACCGGACACAAGCATGCGACCGGGCGCAAGCATGCGTCCTGACACAAGCATGCGACCGGACACAAGCATCCGACCGGGCGCAAGCATGCGACCGGGCACAAGCATGCGTCCGGACACAAGCATGCGTCCGAGCGCAAGCATGCGGCCGGGTGCAAGCATGCGTGCGGGCGCAAGCTTGCGTTCGGACACAAGCATGCGTCCGGACACAAGCATGCAACCGGGCCCAAGCATGCGACCGGGCGCAAGCATGCGTCCGGGCGCAAGCATGCGTCCGGGCGCAAGCATGCGTCCGGGCGCAAGCATGCATCCGGACACAAACATTCGTCCGGGCGCAAGCATGCGACAGGGCGCAAGCATGCGTCCGGACACAAGCATGCGTCCGAACACAAGCATGCGACCGGGCGCAATCATGCGTCCAGGCGCAAGCATGCGTCCGGACACAAGCATGCGTCCGGGCACAAGCATGCGTCTGGATACAAGCATGCGACCGGACACAAGCATGCGACTGGGCGGAAGCATGCGACTGGGCGGAAGCATGCGTCCGGACACAAGCATGCGTCCGTACACAGGCATGCGTCCGGACACAAGCATGCGACCGGGCGCAAGCATGCGTCCAGACACAAGCATGCGTCCGGACACAAGCATGCATCCGGACACAAGCATGCGACCGGGCGCAAGCATGCGTCCGGACACAAGCATGCGATCGGGCGCAAGCATGCGTCCGGACACAAGCATGCGACCGGGCGCAAGCATGCGTCCGGACACCAGCATGTTTCGGACCCAAACATGCGACCGGGTGCAAGCATGCGTCCAGGAACAAGCATGCGTCCGGGCGCAAGCATGCGTCTGGGCACAAGCATGCGTCTGGAGACAAGCATGCGACCAGACACAAGCATGCGACCGGGCGCAAGCATGCGTCCTGACACAAGCATGCGACCGGACACAAGCATCCGACCGGGCGCAAGCATGCGACCGGGCACAAGCATGCGTCCGGACACAAGCATGCGTCCGAGCGCAAGCATGCGGCCGGGTGCAAGCATGCGTCCGGGCGCAAGCTTGCGTTCGGACACAAGCATGCGTCCGGACACAAGCATGCATCCGGGCCCAAGCATGCGACCCGGCGCAAGCATGCGTCCGGGCGCAAGCATGCGTCCGGGCGCAAGCATGCGTCCGGGCGCAAGCATGCATCCGGACACAAACATTCGTCCGGGCGCAAGCATGCGACAGGGCGCAAGCATGCGTCCGGACACAAGCATGCGTCCGGACACAAGCATGCGACCGGGCGCAAGCATGCGTCCAGGCGCAAGCATGCGTCCGGACACAAGCATGCGTCCGGGCACAAGCATGCGTCTGGATACAAGCATGCGACCGGACACAAGCATGCGACCGGGCGCAAGCATGCGTCTGGACACAAGCATGCGACCGGGCGCAAGCATGCGTCCGGACACAAGCATGCGTCCGGACACAAGCGTGCGTCCGGACACAGGCATGCATCCGGACGCAAGCATGCGACCGGGCGCAAGCTTGCGTCCGGACGCAAGCTTTCGACCGGGCGCAAGCATGCGACCGGGCGCAAGCATGCATCCGGACACAAGCATGCGTCCAGACACAAGCATGCGACCGGGCGCAAGCATGCGTCCGGACACAAGCATGCGACCGGGCGCAAGCATGCGACCGGGTGCAAGAATGCATCCAGACACAAGCATGCGTCCGGACACAAGTATGCGTCCGGGCGCAAGCATGCGTCCGTACACAAGCATGCGTCCGGGCGCAAGCATGCGTCCGGGCGCAAGCATGCATCCGGACACAAGCATGCGTCCGGGCGCAAGCATGCGTCCGAGCGCAAGCATGCATCCGGACACAAGCATGCGTCCTAAGAATTGTTGTTCAGTGAAGCTCCTAGTGCTCGTCGTGAGGTAAGCTGAAATGCTGTACGGTAGGGTTACAGAATGAGCGCCTCTCATTTCGTTTGCTTCATGGCTTTAATTGTCACCGTTTTATTTATTAGCAGCCAGGTTTCCTAATGCCTTTACCCTGTTACAGGATTTGTTTCATTCTTTTTTCGTTCACTTTGTCGCAATTACGCATTCCTCGCTCTTACCCCACCCTCCTCCTATCTGAATGTCACCACTCTGTGCGGAATACGGAAGGCGATCGTGTCACGCTATATCACATATTCACGAGGTAAGAATTTGGCTGATCTCGTTTGTTCTTGTTTTTGTCGCCTCATGTGTTGCAGGAGCACAGTGATGTTTGTGGGGGAGCTCTCATAAGGGAGTGTTATAGCTTTCATAATGTGCTGCGTGTAGGGTACACATTGTTTGCATGTTAGAAAGTGCTCAAATAGTAAAATTGTTATGCAAGGCAGTGCTTCAAATGTTCTGATTGAATACGGAAGTTATAATTAAACGAATAAAATATGTGGAGTGAATTTGGCAACTGCTATATACGATGGCATTCGTTATTGCGAAATTATATGAAGTAGAATATTGTTTGTATGTAACAAAAGTAAACATGTCTATAAGAGTATGTGATGTTCAATACAGTAACACATGTTTGACGGTTTTAGTTAGTGTAGGTATTTTTACTGTAGGCAAAATTCGGTGGTGTTGGCGATGCATTTCACAGCGATGATACGGCTCGCGTTTGATTCATTCCGAAAGGCTGGTGAAGGTTTGGTTTCCACGCGGTCCTCTCAAGTTCAATGTTCGTTGTCTGTACAGCCTCTTTCTCGTCACTCTGGCAATGAGATTCACTGGCTACAGTGCGCAGGAGGCTTGGAACCTAGCGGTCTGGTGCTTGCCACCGAACCCCAGGTAGTGGCGGCCAAGACACTCCAGGTGAACGGTACACAACGGTTTTAGAAGAAAACTTGCTTTTGCGTACGGCTGAGTGCGGCAGATGTGCCTAAACACGAAACTGGGTGTATCTGGAGGGTCGTACGGCACGTGGGGATGCGATGGTCTGTAAAAAAATCTGCCACGCTGGACCTTTCAGTTCGGTTCGGAAGTGACGCAGTTTTTGCACTCCCATCGCAGGAACCCGCGGGTCACCTAGATGAGGAGGACCTGGGGGTATCCCACCCCAGGGGAAGCTGTGGGTAACCTGGAGGGGGCTTTTTGGGCGAAACATGTTTGAGATGCCCGGGCTGATGCGCCTGCAGAACAAGGCTCTAGTGATTCCGCCGCGTGAGATTTGTTTGTGAAAAAAATGTATTTTCGTGGGAGTAGCACCTACAGTTGACGATATCAGTGGTTTCACGATTTTTGAGTGACCTTCGCGAAGCAGCACATGGCGGAACAGAAGCCCTGCCGCGGACCTGGAGGTGCTCCGGCGCGAGCCCCAGCGTGCTGCCGCCGCCGCCCTCGACGTCGTTTTTCGTTTGCGGTGCCACCAGCGCCGCGCCTGCCCCTTGTGCTACTAGCACTACTCCTTCCGTCCGTGCTCTTGCCGCGCGACCAACTGCACCTCGCAACGGCACAGGTAGTACGCGCGCGCGTCGTCACGACGGTGAGATCCCCTGTGCGTCTCTGCGGCTGTTGAGGCGCAAGTGATCACATCGTGCACATTCTCTGTTGCCTCGCCTTCCGCTGCCAACTTGTCTCTTCTCCTCTCTCCCCCTTCCCTCCCTTTCCCGATCACATCGCACTCGGCAGTTTCCTGGCGGCGTCAACCATCTGGGGGTGCCGCTGTCGTGCATCGCGGTCGAACTGATGTGCGCCTCTAGCGAGTACACCTGCTACACCTACAACACCTCCTCCGTCTACAACTGCTCCTGCACCTACAACTCTTCTCAGTGCTCCAAATGGACTGGTGCGATCCCTGACTGTATAGGTCGTACTGAGTTGGCAATAAGTTCCTGTCCCCCCCGCTCCATCCCTCCTCCCTGGTGAGTTGGGTTCCCTCCCGCCCGCCCTCCCTCTCCCTGGTGAGTTGGGTTCACTTCCTCCCGTTCTCTCTCCCTCCCGCCCTCCCTCCCTCCCTCCCTCCCTCCCTCTCTTCCTCCTTCCCTCCCTCCCTCCCTCCCTCCCTCCCTCCGTCCCCCCCCTCCCTCCCCCCCCCCCTTCCCTCCCTCCCTCCCTCCCTCCCTCCCTCCCTCCCTCCCTCCCTCCCTCCCTCCCTCCCTCCCTCCCTCCCTCCCTCCCTCTCTCTCTCCCTCCCTCCCCCGCACTCGTCCACCACTCCGCTCCCCACGTATGTGCGAGGCAGCGCCGGTGCCCCGGTCGTGCAGGGACCCGACACTTAGTGGCTATCCGTGTGGGCCGGGGGTCTGCCTCGACGGCGACGCCTTACAGGGCTGCATCTGCCCCAAAGGCTTCTTCCAAACCGCCACCCCTGCCGGCGCTCCTTACTGCGCTCCCGGTAAGTACGCTCCCCCACCATTAGATTTTGATCATGCCTGTGGAGCGCTGAGAAAGCGGCGCGTCTATCACACCTCCCCATGCGCAGTGCAAGCAGCAGACAGAGAGCGCGGTTGTGGGTGCTTGCTCTCGCCCTGGGCTGCTCTCACAGCGCATGTGTTGCCGTTTTGCCAGGTAAAGCGCCCAAGGCAGAGGCAGTCCCGTGAGGTGTGATGAGCGCAAAAGCTGCTGGTACTCTCAAGAGGGGCTTAGCACTTTATGTGCCGAGGATGGTGCTTAGCACTTTCAGAAGCTCACTTTGCATGCATCGTGGTGACGCTGCTGCAGCATAGGCATGCACCCAGGGTGAGGCGTGTGGGTGTGGTGCATGCCGTCGCACTGACACAAAAGCATAAGGTGAAAGCAGGAACCATACAGCCTCACCACTGGAGAGGCGTACATGAGAGATTGCATGCGTATGTCTCAGGAGAGTATGAAGCTTGAAGTCTGGTGCTTTCTTCCCTTTGCCATTAGCCAGTCAAATCCAATTCCCCCTTGTTCTCGTGTCATTGTCTCTTCCTTGGGTTTCCATTGTGCAGGTAATTCGTCTGCTGGCGGGTCATCACCACCCTCCACCCCGTCCCCTCCACCACCACGACCACCATCACGATCACCATCACGACCGCCATCACGACCACCATCACGACCACCATCACGACCACCACCACGACCACCATCACGACCACCATCGCATTCACCATCGCCACCACCACCACCACCACCACCATCGGCACCACCATCAGCACCACCATCGGCACCACCAACGGCACCACCATCAGCACCACCATCAGCACCACCACCATCATCAGCACCACCACCATCATCAGCACCGCCATCAGCACCACCACCATCATCAGCACCACCACCAGCACCACCACCATCATCAGCACCACCACCATCAGCACCGCCATCAGCACCACCACCATCATCAGCACCACCATCAGCACCACCACCATCAGCACCACCATCAGCACCACCATCAGCACCACCACCATCATCAGCACCACCACCATCAGCACCGCCATCAGCACCACCACCATCATCAGCACCACCACCATCATCAGCACCGCCATCAGCACCACCACCATCATCAGCACCACCACCAGCACCACCACCATCATCAGCACCACCACCATCAGCACCGCCATCAGCACCACCACCATCATCAGCACCACCACCAGCACCACCACCATCATCAGCACCACCACCATCATCAGCACCAAGTTCAAAGCCAGGCACCTCCTCGGAATCAGCTTCGGCAGGCCAGCCGTCCTCTGCAGGTATGTGACCCAACACCTTGAGGCTCTCTCTTCCCTCAAGGCAGCCCGAGCTTCACGAGGCATATGCATGTCGCCACCGCCAGTGCTTCCATGCCACTGCACCACATGCCGATTGTTCGTGGTCTCTCAACCTTAAGCAGTGTGCTGACATCGCTTCTGCATGGCATGGCATCCCCTTTCACTCGACTCCATCCTGTTCCACTGGCCCCTGATTTACCTCCACTCTTCACAGATCCATCACCAGGCATGTCGACTGGGGTTATAGCAGCGATTGCGGTCGGCATCGTTTGTCTTGTGCTGCTCGTTGGCCTGGTTGGGTTCTTTGTGTGGCGACGCCGACAGCGCAAGCAGCATCACGAGAGTGCTGCGATGCAAGAGGCTCTGAAGGCAGGAGACAATGATGTGGAGGGTGGTCGACCAGGTATTGACACAGAAGAGCTTCTGATATGTTCGTTGACAAAACTAAAGCCGGCATTGTCACTGAAATTCGGGTATGCTTCTCTGCTTCTTCCAAAATGTCCTCCTCACAATATGAGCAGCATGACTTGGAGCATCTTCATAGCATCTCTTCCCCCACCCCCCCGTTTCTCCCTTCCTCCCTGCCTCCCCTGCGCAGCAGCCCCAGCAGCATTATCAGCAGCATCAGTCCCATCAGCAGTCCCAGCTGCAGCACGCGGGCCGGTGGTGTGTCGGGAGCTGCCGTACTGGGAGGTGGTGGAGGCAACGAACGAGTGGTGGGCAGGCAACCTGATCGGGCACGGGGGCTACGGTGACGTGTACCGAGGAGTGGCACCGTCAGATGGCACCGTGTGGGCTGTGAAGCGCGCCCGCGTCATCACCAAGGACTTCCGCCGAGAGGTGTGTGCGTAGAGAGTGCAAGCGCTGGGGGTTCAATTATGGTGCAATGGCGCTGCTGTGATGAGGATGTGTGCTTGTGTATATGGGGGAAGCGTCCAGAGCTCCGGACGAATCCTCGTCCACTTGGGTGTACGGGCAACTCACTCAACCTGGCGTGCTTGCTGTCCAATCCACCCCGCATGGTGGTGTATGACGTGGCATGGTGCATGATGTGGCATGGTGCATGACGTGGCATGGTGCATGACATGGCATGGTGCATGATGTGGCATGGTGCATGACGTGGCATAGTGCATGACGTGGCATGATGCATGGCCTTGCATGGTGCATGACGTGGCATGGGCAGGTGGAGCAGATGGCATCGAAGCACCACCCGCACCTGGTGCGGCTGCTGGGGTACTGTGTGCACATGGATACGCGCACGGAGCAGCACGAGCAGATCGTCGTCTACGAGTTCATGCCCGCCGGCGACCTGCAATCCTGCATGCCCACCCACCTCGCCGACGCGCCTGAGAAAGGTGGGGAGTGTGGAAGGGTGGGGAGTGCGGGAAGGGTTAGAAGAGTAAGGGGGATGGGGCATTGGACAGAGATGGCCTGCTGTGCTGTCCTACATGGGTGCACGTGTGAAGGTCAAGTCAAAGTGGGTGACGGTGAAAGCAAGGATGAACGTGCAATTGCAGGTGCACATGTGAATAAGCCATCCCTCTATCTCCATAGCCCATTCCGATTGTGCCTCCACCTTCCCCTCCTCCCATCACACACACACTCCCAGGCGCCACACGGGCGCCTTTGTCGCTGCAGCAGCGCCTGCAGGTGCTGGTGGGAGTGGCGCGTGGGCTGCAGTACCTGCACAGCTTTGGCATCGTGCACCGCGACATCAAACCCGCCAACATCCTGCTCGATGCCCACATGACGGTCAGCTCACACACACATGCCCATATAGCGGTCAGCACACACACATGCCACGTGCACCCACACGCGCCACGCATACATGTGCGAACACAATGACAAATCACCCAGGCAATGTCTTTTATGGATCGTTGTTCTGGTCTATCCGTGCTGATTATCTCATGTACATTCGTTAATCTTCTGTACAAGGGATTCCTCCTGTAGGGTAAGTAGCCTTCCATCTGCCTCTCCTTCCTCTTCGTTCCACACTGCATTCTTCCACCACGCCCATGCCCTCCATGCACGGCAACGTGGCAGGCCAAGGTGGCGGACTTTGGGCTGGTGAGGATGGGCGATGAGAGCACGGGTGACACAACGCGCATTCTTGGCACACCGGGCTATGTGGACCCCGCATACTCCAAGTCGCGCAAAGCCGCCCCCTCCAACGACGTCTACAGGTGGGCCGTGCCTGCTGCCACCGTGCCTCGTGGAACGCTGATGGCCGGCGGTACGGTGGTTGATGGTGTGCTGTGCTGGTACCGGTGAGTGCGAATCTCGTAGACTCCTATATTCGAGTGTCATATAAGTGGTGCTTAGGTGGTGCTGGCTGGTAAGCACTGTGGGTCTTTCAGGTGGATGGATCTTAAGTCCATGCTGCGCCCTGTCCACTGGGTCTTTCTGCCGTGTCGACCACGATGTTCTGCTTGATGATGCGTTTTCAACTTCGTGCCTTTCCATGCTGCCATATGAGGGCTGAAACATGCACCTCACCAGCCTATGCAACCCATGCTGCACCTTCCACTCTCTTTGTAGCACCACATTTTCAATGTTGTGCATCCACTGGCATGTTGACATGTATGCATGCCGTGTGTGGCATTGGTGGGAATGGGGTGTGCATACTGTGTGGCATGAGCAGCTATGGCATAGTCATGTTGGAACTCTTCACATCCCAGAGGGCAATCCTGCAGGAGGGAGACCACAACATCAACATCAGGCAATGGGTAATCTTTGCACTTTGCGCCAACCCTGTTTTTTGTTTTTTTGTTTTTTGTTTTTTGTTTTGTTTTGTTTTGTTTTGTTTTTTTATTATTTTTTTTTTTTTTTTTTTTAATTGTGTTCCCCGCCCCTCAGTCATAGCCCATAAGACGACATCATTTCAACTAGTTGTTGCTTTTTTTTTTTGCATGCCCTTGCAGGCGGAGCCGCTGCTGACAGCATTGGATGCTGAAACCCTCAAAGACCCATGCCTTGATGCTCCGCCTGAGGTCATTCTTCAACTGACACAGCTGGCCCTGCAGTGCACAAGCATGCCTGTATCAAGCCGCCCCCACATGGACCAGATTGTTGTCAGACTGTCTGACTTGTATACGAGGCTCTTCGGGTCTGGCGCGGGTGGAAATGGGGAGTCAGTTGACTCGATTCTTCAGCGTGTTGAACATCCACTTCACTCGTTCGATGAGGCGATTGCAATGGCTGATGCTGCAGGAACCCAAGGATCTTTTGTCTAGAACAGCAATATGTCTTCCAGACATAAAACTATGCATTCTAGTACACTAGTCTAGTAAAGTGTATGTAGATGTATGTTATGTATGGTTATATACCACCAACAACAGAAGTGATGCTACACTAGCTAGTCTAATATGTAGTTATATATAGAAATACAATTTCTGACATCCCCCCTTAACTGCATACAAGCATAGCCTCAGTTCATAACATGCTTCTTCTGAAGGACCCTAGCGAGCTCACTATGGAGGTCCTTGAGTCTGCCCTCAAGGACGACCAGAGCAACTTCCGCTCGGTTGCCTCCACCTCTGGTGCTGTGCCCCCTCCACTGTTTCACGGGTGCACTGTCCCTTAGCTGCCCACCTTTACAGCCTCCCTTTCCGCTGCTGCTAGTGACGTGATCGCACCTGCCGTTACGCCTTCTTCGCGGTCTAGGGGTAGGAGCAGCAGGAGGGGCAGGTAGAGTGCGGGCGGAGGCGGCGGAGGTGGCAGAGGTGGCGTGGCGAGCGGCGATGGTGGGAGTCAGGCCCTCAGAAGTCAGAGAATTTTCTCTGATTTGCATGAAAAACATTGTGAATTCAGATTTTTTTCGAAGTGAACTCTGTTAAAACCAGAGATATTAGGGCCCCAACGCTGTAAATTTCAGAAAAAAAAAATATTCTACTCTGAAATTTCAGAGTTTTCTGGGAGTGTACTCTGATCATTCAGAGTACAAACATGTTATTGACTGGTGATTCGGACCTCACGGGTCACAGCAGATTCGCACAGTCAACGCAAAATCGCCTTGACACAGCAAATCCGCGCCTTACAGCACAAAATTTTGCCCAATCACAGCAAAATCGCCCTGACACAACAGATTTGCGCCGTCAGAGCACAACAATTTCGCCCAATCACAAACCATTTTCACTTGACATAGTAGATTCGCCCTTTCACATCACAAGATTTGCCCTGACACAAAAATTCACCCGGTCAGAGCATGATCTCCCAAGAATCCCCTTCTCCTTGCATGTTTCATCAGATGAATGAAACATTGAATACATTTCTGATGAAACATTGAATACATTGATTTCGAATGTTCAGACTTTAATTTAAAGACACTCTGAAATTTCAGCCTTTTTTTATGCCAACTATGAGAGTTTCAGACTAAAACAGTGTACTAGTCTGACGAATCAGACAGGCAAAAAACGAATCTGAGGACCTGGTGGGAGTACGGAGGGTGGAGGAGCGCCTCGTGCAGCGGCTAGTGACTCCCCTGCTGCAGCTGGTGGCGGTGACGCTCGAGTACGTCAGGCACCTACTGGTCCGCCAGCTGCAGCTGCAGGTCTAGCGGCTTGGTACCTGACTCATCGGCAGCAACGGCAGCAGCAGCAGCAACCCCTCCCCTCGCAGCAGCTACAGCAGCAGCAGGCTCCGGGGCAGGGGTCAGGACCGCATCAGCTGTCGTTTGGTGCCATCCACCCTCCCTGCACCTATTAAATTCTAACAGGTGCCCGCCGAGGCCAACCTTGTGGCCCCACCGGGTTAGTGTTTTGCTCAGCTGACTGACACGGTCCGGTTGGCCAATGGCGTTGACGGCCCTGCCCCTTACTGGCTTCCCCTTGTTCAGACGTACGACCCCGCTCTGTGGGGAATATCGGCTTCTCAGCTGGTTGATCTCTTCGGAACTCCTCATGCTATATATGCTGCTGTTGATTCTAGTGCTTCTGGCTCTGTTTACTCGAGTGTTGTTAGCTTAGGTGCTAGTCTTGCTAAGGTGCCTGTTGCTAGTGTAGGTACTTGTGTAGACACTAGTCCACGACCTGCTCCGGAGGACGCTTCGTTGTCTTTCACTCTGGACTCCGGAGCTTCACACTGTTTCTTACGCTACCGTACGGCCCTTACCCCACTTCCCACACCGGTCTCTGTAGCACTAGCTAATCCCACTTCGGGACGAGTCACTACTCGCTACACTACCACGCTTCCGTGCCCGGCTGTTCCCTCTGGTTCTCTGACTAGCTTCTACGTCCCCTCGTTCTTGAGGAACTTGGTGGGCGTGAGGCCGCTCGTGGATCAGCACGTGGGTGTGTGGATTGAGCCTTCTGGCGAGACAGCGGTTTGTGTTGACGGGGACACGTACGCGCCTCTCGCCACCTTTACCGCTGAGCCGGGCTCTGGCCTTTACACACTTCACACTGGCCCCTGCGTGCAGCAGCAGCAGGAGGAGGAGCAGCACCAGCAGCAGTAGCAGCAGCAATAGCAGCAACAGCTACTGCCCCCGGCCCCTGTCACTACCCCCTGTCACGTTTCCGCGTCTCCCCAGATTGCCGCGTCTCACCAGGTAGCTGTGTCTGGTCACGTTCCAGTGTCTGGTCCAGTTGGTGCGTCTTGCTTTTGCCGGTCACTTGCCCACCCCACCGTTCTGTGGCACCACCAGATGGGGCACCCGTCAATTCCTCACCTACGTGCTATGTCTAGTCGGCGTCTTGTCTTAGGCCTCCCGCGAGTCTTGCCGTCACTGCCACCTTCGCTTGCCCCACCCTGCGGTCCCTACGTCGAGGGTCGGGTGCGCGCCACCCCTCCTCCTTCCTTCGTCCGGCCACCGAGCCCTTCGAGACTCTCCACTTGGACATCTGGGGCTCCGCCTCGCACCCTGGCCTTGAGCAAGAGAGTTTCTTTCTGGTGGTTGTTGACGACTTCTCTCGCTACACCACAGTGTTCCCCCTTGCAAAGAAGTCTGAGGTGACTTCTACGCTGATTCGGTAGTACTTACCACTACGGACACTCGTGGTCGTCATGTCAGCTGTCTCCACTCCGACCGTGGGGGTGAGTTTTGCTCTAGCATTCTCGCTGGATTTTGTCGCGAGCAGGGCATCCGTAAGTCCTAGACGCTTCCAAAGTCCCCACAGCAGAATGGGGTTGCTGAGCGCCGCATAGGCTAGGTCATGGAGATCGCCCGCACCTCCATGATTCACGCCCGTGCCCCCCATTTTCTATGGCCCTACGTGGTTCGGTATGCTGCTCATCAGGTGAACCTCTGGCCACATGTCTCTCGGCCAGAGGTTTCTCCGACCAGTCTTTGGACCGGGTCCCATGGTGTTGCATCGCGCTTCCGTGTCTGGGGTTGCTTGGCACTTGTTCGCGACACCTCCGCGGACAAGATCTTGCCTCGCGCCATTCCCTGTGTCTTCCTTGGTTTCCCCGAGGACTCTCTGACTTCACCTTTTACCACCCTCCCCTTCACCGGTTTTTTTACTCCCATGACGTCAGTTTCGACGAGTCCGTCCCCTACTACGTAAGGTACCCCTGTCAAGGTCTCCCGGTTCCTCCTCCCCCTCTCTTCTTGACTTCAGCTCCCCCTCCTACTCCCCCGGAACAGCCTCCCACCCCTAGTCCAGCCCCATCAGGTGTGTCCCACGCTACCCCTCCCCCCTCGGTAGCCTGTCAGGTGCAGCTTCCTTCCTCGAAGTCCTCCTCAAAGCCTACTGCAGACCCTGCGGGAACCGGTGTTCGTGGCGAGGACCCTGGAGGTACTAGCTATGGAGGAGTTGGAGTTGGAGCAGAGGGCGTACCTGTGCGAGGTCCAGGTTCTGGGGGTGCTGGAGTTGGACCTGAGCCCGTGACTGTAGGAGACTCCAGTCTTCGGGGAGCTGGGGTTAGTGGAGCTGTCCCTGGGGCTGGAGAGCCTGGGACAGACCCTGTTACTTCCGGTGGTGCTGGCTCTGGGGGTGGTGCGACTGGTTCTCTGGAGAGCGATCCTGGGGCTACTACCGCTCCGGACACTACTCCTCCCCCCTACCCCTACCCAATCCGGAACAAGGCCCGTGTTCGCCGTGCACGTCAGGAGTAGCTAGAGTTGGAGCAAGAGGAGAGAGAGTTGGATTGGCGGCAGCTGGAGCTACAGCGGCTGGAGCACCAGCAGGAGCAACAGCAGCCACAGCAGCAGCCGTAGCAGCAGCCGCCGCAGTTGGAGGAGCAACGGTCGTAGCCGCAGCAGGAGCAGCAGCAGCCGCCACCTCCTCCTCCTGTCTCTGGTCTTCGGACCCTCAGTCTCCCCTCTCCCTCTCCTCCCTCCTCCCATCTCTGGTCCTCCGCTTCCTCCTCCCCAGTTGTTTTCCCTCCTCCTCTCCCGCCGTTGTCCCCTCCTCTTTCTCACACTTGGCCTTCGCTTCGCTCTCCTCATGCTTGTCCCTCGTCCCTCGTCCCCTGTTCCCTTCACTGACCTTTGTACTGCCCTGTTTTGTTCTAGTCCGCCTCGTTCGTATCCTTCTGTACTTCCTTCTCCTGAGTCGGCTCTCACTGCTTCCCTCTTTACTCCTGTCAAAGACTACTACCGCGTGTACCGTCTTGTTCTCTCCCGTGTTCTCGCCTCTCTTGTTACCAACCCACGTGCTTATTTGTCCTCTGTCTCCGCTCTTATTGCTGCAGTCACTGAGTTTGTCTCTACTCGCCGCCTTGACTACGCCACCAGTCTTATGGCTGCTCCTCCTACCAGTCCTCTGGCCGTCGGGGGTGAGTATGCCTTTGGGTGTGATGCCCTAGAGGACAGGCAGTTTGAGATGGAGTTCCTGGCAGCCGCTTCCCCTCATCTCTGTGCCATGCTGCTCGCCCCTGGGTGTTGACTTCTTTCAGACCTTCGCGCCTACCCCGAAGATGACCACTCTTCGGGTGTTACTGCATGTAGCAGCTCAGAGAGACTATGAGTTACACTCTCTTGACTTCTCCACTGCCTTCCTTCAGGGTAGCCTTCACGAGGAGGTCTAGTTGCGTCGTCCCTCTGCCTTCTCTGGCACTTTCCCTCCTGGGGCACTTTGGAGGCTGAGGCGACCGGTCTACGGTCTCCGTCAGGCTCCTCGTAAGTGGCACGACACCCTTCGTTCTACCTTATCTGACCTCGGTTTCGAGCCTTCTTCTGCCGACTCGTCGCTATTCGTTCATCGTGGTTCCACACCGTTCTTTGTACTGGTCTACGTCGACGACCTGGTTTTCGCCACTGCTGACAGGGTTGCGTTGGCTGACGTGAAGTGCAAACTGCAAAAGAGACACACGTGCACTGACCTTGGTGAGCTGCGCCATCACCTGGGCCTGGAGATCACCAGGGACAGAGCCGCTGGCACCATTACACTCTCACAGTCACACATGGTGCATTAGGTCCTTCAGCGGTTCGAGCTTCAGCACTCCACAGTACAGCGCACACCTCTTGCCGTTGTCCACAGACTCACTGGACCCTTTCTTGACGAGCCGTTTGAGCCTAGTGGTCCCTACGCAGAGCTTGTGGGCTGCCTCATGTGTCAAATTATAATGTTGTATAGGCTGTAGTGGGGTAGCCTTTATGGGGTACACAATGCTAGGGTTGCATACTTGTATCACTTTCATTCCTTAGTAATTCATTCTCGTTTCTTCTCATGGTTTCAGAGTAGGTTCCCTAGTGGGAACGCTACCTAGGGCCCACCACGATTTTTTTTTCCTGCCCGGAGCGCGCCTTAGACTAGACCGAGTCGCGCGCGCCCCGTGTGCCCTCCCTACCGTCGCGCCGCTCTTTGTGGCCCCTTTCGCTGCCTGTCGACCCCACGCGCCGCCCTAGCGGCCCCTCCTTGCGCCACCCGTCGACCCCGCGCGCCGCCTTAGCGGCTCCCTACGCCGCCCGTCGACCTCACGCGCCGCCCTAACGGCCCCCTGCGCCACCCGTCGACCCCGCGCGCCGCCCTAACGCCCCCCCCCCCCCCCCCCCCCCCCCTGCGCCGCCCTAGTGGCGCCTTACGCCACCCGTCGACCCCACGCGCCGCCCTTGCGGCCTCGCCGCCCTTACCTGCGGCCCCGCCGCCCTCACCTGCGGTCCCCGCCGCCCTTACCTGCGGTCCCCGCCGCCCTAAACTGCGGCCTCGCCGCCCTTACCTGCGGCCTCGCCGCCCTCACCTGCGGTCCCCGCCGCCCTCACCTGCGGCCTCGCCGCCCTTACCTGCGGCCTCGCCGCCCTCACCTGCGGTCCCCGCCGCCCTCAACTGCAGCCTCGCCGCCCTTACCTGCGGCCTCGCCGCCCTCACCTGCGGTCCCCGCCGCCCTCAACTGCGGCCTCGCCGCCCTTACCTGCGGCCCAGCCGCCTTCCCTGCGGCCCCGTCATCTGCTGCAGCGCCGCCCGCCACCTGAGCCGCCTGGGCCGCCTCACCTCGCCGAACAGCCGACCGCCGCGCCGCCCTGCAGCAGCACGGCCGAGCCGCCCAGCAGCTGAGCAGCCGAGCAGCCGAGCCGCCCAGCAACCGAGCAGCCGAGCCGCCCTGCAGCCGAGCCGCCCAGCAGCCGAGCCGCCCTGCAACCGAGCCGCCCAGCAGCCGAGCCGCCCTGCAGCCGAGTCGCCCAGCAGCCGAGCCGCCGTGCAACCGAGCCGCCGAGCCGCCCTACCTCCGAGCCGCCCGAGCAGCCCCGTCCGGTGAGCACAGTGCCTCTTTTCTAGCACTGCCCTCACCCTACTGTTGCACTGCTAGTCTACTGTGGTCATGGCTACCCCTAGTGTCCTCGCTTTTGACGCTGAGGGTCGAGCCATTGACTTTGACGACTGGGTAGATGACGTGCAGCTGTTTTTACAGTGTGATAGGGCAGACTGTCTCTCACTCTTTGACCTCACCTCTGGCGCCTCTCCTGCCCCTGCTGCTGATGCTGACGCCACTGTTCGCTCCCAGTGGGCCACGCGCGACGCTGCTGCACGTCTTGCTGTGCGTCGCCACCTCCCTACCTCCGAGCGTGCGCACTTTAGTCAGTACAAGAGTGCTCAGACCTTCTACGACGCTGTAGTTGCGCGCTACTCCTCCCCTGCCACTGCTGCACTGAGCCGTCTCATGCTACCGTACCTCTTCCCTGACCTTGCTGCCTTTCCCACAGTCGCTGACCTCATTACGCACCTCCGCACTAGTGACACTCGCTACCGCGCTGCGCTTCATGCTGACTTCTGCGCCAAGAACCCCCCCCCAATGTACATCACTCTCTACTACATAGTCACTCGCCTCCCTGACTCCCTCCTAGCGGCCGAGAAGAGCATAGTCGCTGTAGGGGCCTCTCGTGGTGACCCACGCACCCCCATCTTTGAGGGTTGTTCCCCCTCCCCCCTTCTGCCCTCTGTTGCCTCTGCTACTGCGGCCGACCTCCAGGGGCTGGGAGCAACTCACCTGGCTGGTGGGGGTGCTGGGAGCAACTCACCTTGCTGGTGGGGGTGCTGGGAGCAACTCACCTGGCTGGTGGGGGTGCTGGGAGAAACTCACCTGGCTGGTGGGGGTGCTGGGAGCAACTCACCTGGCTGGTGGGGGTGCTGGGAGCAACTCACCTGGCTGGTGGGGGTGCTGGGAGCAACTCACCTGGCTGGTGGGGGTGCTGGGAGCAACTCACCTGGCTGGTGGGGGTGCTGGGAGAAACTCACCTGGCTGGTGGGGGTGCTGGGAGCAACTCACCTGGCTGGTGGGGGTGCTGGGAGCAACTCACCTGGCTGGTGGGGGTGCTGGGAGCAACTCACCTGGCTGGTGGGGGTGCTGGGAGCAACTCACCTGGCTGGTGGGGGTGCTGGAAGCAACTCACCTGGCTGGTGGGGGTGCTGGGAGCAACTCACCTGGCTGGTGGGGGTGCTGGGAGCAACTCACCTGGCTGGTGGGGGTGCTGGGAGCAACTCACCTGGCTGGTGGGGGTGCTGGGAGCAACTCACCTGGCTGGTGGGGGTGCTGGGAGCAACTCACCTGGCTGGTGGGGTGCTGGGAGCAACTCACCTGGCTGGTGGGGTGCTGGGAGCAACTCACCTGGCTGGTGGGGGTGCTGGGAGCAACTCACCTGGCTGGTGGGGGTGCTGGGAGCAACTCACCTGGCTGGTGGGGGTGCTGGGAGCAACTCACCTGGCTGGTGGGGGTGCTGGGAGCAACTCACCTGGCAGGTGGGGGTGCTGGGAGCAACTCACCTGGCTGGTGGGGGTGCTGGGAGCAACTCACCTGGCTGGCCCTTCTCCCAGATTCCATCCCCTTCTCCCTCATTCCATCCCCTTCTCCTAGATTCCATCCCCTTCTCCCAGATTCCATCCCCTTCTCCCTGATTCCATCCCCTTCTCCCAGATTCCATCCCCTTCTCCCAGATTCCACCCCCTTCTCCCAGATTCCATCCCCTTCTCCCTAATTCCATCCCCTTCTCCCAGATTCCATCCCCTTCTCCCAGATTCCATCCCCTTCTTCCAGATTCCATCCCCTTCTCCCCGATTCCATCCCCTTCTCCCTGATTCCATCCCCTTCTCCTAGATTCCAACCCCTTCTCCCAGATTCCATCCCCTTCTCCCATATTCCATCTCCTTCTCCCAAATTCCATCCCCTTCTCCCAGATTCCATCCCCTTCTCCCAGATTCCATCTCCTTCTCCCAGATTCCACCCCCTTCTCCCAGATTCCATCCCCTTCTCTCAGATTCCATCCCCTTCTCCCTGATTCCATCCCCTTCTCCCAGATTCCATCCCCTTCTCCCAGATTCCATCCCCTTCTTCCAGATTCCATCCCCTTCTCCCAGATTCCATCCCCTTCTCCCCGATTCCATCCCCTTCTCCCTGATTCCATCCCCTTCTCCCAGATTCCAACCCCTTCTCCCAGATTCCATCCCCTCCTCCCAGATTCCATCCCCTTCTCCCCGATTCCACCCCCTTCTCCCAGATTCCATCCCCTTCTCCCTGATTCCATCCCCTTCTCCCTGATTCCATCCCCTTCTCCCAGATTCCATCCCCTTCTCCCAGATTCCATCCCCTTCTCCCAGATTCCATCCCCTTCTCCCAGATTCCATCCCCTTCTCCCAGATTCCATCCCCTTCTCCCAGATTCCATCCCCTTCTCCCAGGTTCCATCCTTTCTCCCACATTCCATCCCCTTCTCCCTGATTCCATCCCCTTCTCCCAAAATCCATCCCCTTCTCCCAGATTCCATCCCCTTCTCCCAGATTCCATCCCCTTCTCCCAGATTCCATCCCCTTCTCCCAGATTCCATCCCCTTCTCCCAGATTCCATCCCCTTCTCCCAAATTCCATCCCGTTTTCCCAGATTCTATCCCGTTCTCCCAGATTCCATCCCCTTCTCCCATATTCCATCCCCTTCTCCCAGATTCCATCCCCTTCTCCCAGATTCCATCCCCTTCTCCTAGATTCCATCCCCTTCTCCCAGATTCCATCCCCTTCTCCCAGATTCCATCCCCTTCTTCCAGATTCCATCCCCTTCTCCGTGATTCCATCCCCTTCTCCTAGATTCCATCACCTTCTCCCAGATTCCATCCCCTTCTCCCAGATTCCATCCCCTTCTCCCAGATTCCATCCCCTTCTCCCAGATTCCATTCCCTTCTCCCCGATTCCATCCCCTTCTCCCAGATTCCATCCCCTTCTCCCAGGTTCCATCCCCTCTTCCCAAATTCCATCCCTTTCTCCCTCATTCCATCCCCTTCTCCTAGATTTCATCCCCTTCTCCCTGATTTCATCCCCTTCTCCCAGATTCCATCCCGTTCTTCCAGATTCCATCCCCTTCTCCCAGATTCCATCCCCCGCTCCCAGATTCCATCCCCTTCTCCCAGATTCCATCCCCTTCTCCCAGATTCCAACCCCTTCTCCCTGGTTCCATCCTCTTCTCCCTCATTCCATCCCCTTCTCCCGGATTCCACCCCCTTCTCCCAGATTCCATCCCCTTCTCCCTAATTCCATCCCCTTCTCCCAGATTCCATCCCCTTCTCCCAGATTCCATCCCCTTCTTCCAGATTCCATCCCCTTCTCCCCGATTCCATCCCCTTCTCCCTGATTCCATCCCCTTCTCCTAGATTCCAACCCCTTCTCCCAGATTCCATCCCCTTCTCCCATATTCCATCTCCTTCTCCCAAATTCCATCCCCTTCTCCCAGATTCCATCCCCTTCTCCCAGATTCCATCTCCTTCTCCCAGATTCCACCCCCTTCTCCCAGATTCCATCCCCTTCTCTCAGATTCCATCCCCTTCTCCCTGATTCCATCCCCTTCTCCCAGATTCCATCCCCTTCTCCCAGATTCCATCCCCTTCTTCCAGATTCCATCCCCTTCTCCCCGATTCCATCCCCTTCTCCCCGATTCCATCCCCTTCTCCCTGATTCCATCCCCTTCTCCCAGATTCCAACCCCTTCTCCCAGATTCCATCCCCTCCTCCCAGATTCCATCCCCTTCTCCCAGATTCCACCCCCTTCTCCCAGATTCCATCCCCTTCTCCCTGATTCCATCCCCTTCTCCCTGATTCCATCCCCTTCTCCCAGATTCCATCCCCTTCTCCCAGATTCCATCCCCTTCTCCCAGATTCCATCCCCTTCTCCCAGATTCCATCCCCTTCTCCCAGATTCCATCCCCTTCTCCCAGATTCCATCCCCTTCTCCCAGGTTCCATCCTTTCTCCCACATTCCATCCCCTTCTCCCTGATTCCATCCCCTTCTCCCAAAATCCATCCCCTTCTCCCAGATTCCATCCCCTTCTCCCAGATTCCATCCCCTTCTCCCAGATTCCATCCCCTTCTCCCAGATTCCATCCCCTTCTCCCAGATTCCATCCCCTTCTCCCAAATTCCATCCCGTTTTCCCAGATTCTATCCCGTTCTCCCAGATTCCATCCCCTTCTCCCATATTCCATCCCCTTCTCCCAGATTCCATCCCCTTCTCCCAGATTCCATCCCCTTCTCCTAGATTCCATCCCCTTCTCCCAGATTCCATCCCCTTCTCCCAGATTCCATCCCCTTCTTCCAGATTCCATCCCCTTCTCCGTGATTCCATCCCCTTCTCCTAGATTCCATCACCTTCTCCCAGATTCCATCCCCTTCTCCCAGATTCCATCCCCTTCTCCCAGATTCCATCCCCTTCTCCCAGATTCCATTCCCTTCTCCCCGATTCCATCCCCTTCTCCCAGATTCCATCCCCTTCTCCCAGGTTCCATCCCCTTTTCCCAAATTCCATCCCTTTCTCCCTCATTCCATCCCCTTCTCCTAGATTTCATCCCCTTCTCCCTGATTTCATCCCCTTCTCCCAGATTCCATCCCGTTCTTCCAGATTCCATCCCCTTCTCCCAGATTCCATCCCTTTCTCCCAGATTCCATCCCCTTCTCCTAGATTCCAACCCCTTCTCCCTGGTTCCATCCCCCTCTCCCTCATTCCATCCCCTTCTCCCAGATTCCATCCCCTTCTCCCAGATTCCATCCCCTTCCCCCAGATTTTATCCCCTTCTCCCAGATTCCATCCCGTTCTCCTAGATTCCATCCCCTTCTCCCAGATTCCATCCCCTTCTCCCAGATTCCATCCCCTTCTCCCCGATTCCATCCCCTTCTCCCTGATTCCATCCCCTTCTCCCAGATTCCAACCCCTTCTCCCAGATTCCATCCCCTCCTCCCAGATTCCATCCCCTTCTCCCAGATTCCATCCCCTTCTCCCAAATTCCATCCCCTTCTCCCTGATTCCATCCCCTTCTCCCTGATTCCATCCCCTTCTCCCAGATTCCATCCCCTTCTCCCAGATTCCATCCCCTTCTCCTAGGTTCGATCCCGTTCTCCCAGATTCCATCCCCTTCTCCCTGATTCCATCCCCTTCTCCCTGATTCCATCCCCTTCTCCCAGATTCCATCCCCTTCTCCCAGATTCCATCCCCTTCTTCCAGATTCCATCCCCTTCTCCCAGATTCCATCCCCTTCTCCCCGATTCCATCCCCTTCTCCCTGATTCCATCCCCTTCTCCCAGATTCCAACCCCTTCTCCCAGATTCCATCCCCTCCTCCCAGATTCCATCCCCTTCTCCCATATTCCATCCCCTTCTCCCAGATTCCATCCCCTTCTCCCTGATTCCATCCCCTTCTCCCTGATTCCATCCCCTTCTCCCAGATTCCATCCCCTTCTCCCAGATTCCATCCCCTTCTCCTAGATTCCATCCCCTTCTCCCAGATTCCATCCCCTTCTCCTTGATTCCATCCCCTTCTTCCAGATTCCATCCCCTTCTCCCAGGTTCCATCCTTTCTCCCACATTCCATCCCCTTCTCCCCGATTCCATCCCCTTCTCCCAAAATCCATCCCCTTCTCCCAGATTCCATCCCCTTCTCCCAGATTCCATCCCCTTCTCCCAGATTCCATCCCCTTCTCCCAGATTCCATCCCCTTCTCCCAGATTCCATCCCCTTCTGCCAAATTCCATCCCGTTCTCCCAGATTCTATCCCGTTCTCCCAGATTCCATCCCCTTCTCCCATATTCCATCCCCTTCTCCCAGATTCCATCCCCTTCTCCCAAGTTCCATTCCCTTCTCCCCGATTCCATCCCCTTCTCCCAGATTCCATCCCCTTCTCCCAGGTTCCATCCCCTTTTCCCAAATTCCATCCCTTTCTCCCTCATTCCATCCCCTTCTCCTAGATTTCATCCCCTTCTCCCTGATTTCATCCCCTTCTCCCAGATTCCATCCCGTTCTTCCAGATTCCATCCCCTTCTCCCAGATTCCATCCCTTTCTCCCAGATTCCATCCCCTTCTCCCAGATTCCAACCCCTTCTCCCTGGTTCCATCCTCTTCTCCCTCATTCCATCCCCTTCTCCCAGATTCCATCCCCTTCTCCCAGATTCCATCCCCTTCTCTCAGATTCCATTCCCTTCTCCCCGATTCCATCCCCTTCTCCCAGATTCCATCCCCTTCTCCCAGGTTCCATCCCCTTTTCCCAAATTCCATCCCTTTCTCCCTCATTCCATCCCCTTCTCCTAGATTTCATCCCCTTCTCCCTGATTTCATCCCCTTCTCCCAGATTCCATCCCGTTCTTCCAGATTCCATCCCCTTCTCCCAGATTCCATCCCTTTCTCCCAGATTCCATCCCCTTCTCCCAGATTCCAACCCCTTCTCCCTGGTTCCATCCTCTTCTCCCTCATTCCATCCCCTTCTCCCAGATTCCATCCCCTTCTCCCAGATTCCATCCCCTTCCCCCAGATTTTATCCCCTTCTCCCAGATTCCATCCCGTTCTCCTAGATTCCATCCCCTTCTCCCAGATTCCATCCCCTTCTCCCAGATTCCATCCCCTTCTCCCCGATTCCATCCCCTTCTCCCTGATTCCATCCCCTTCTCCCAGATTCCAACCCCTTCTCCCAGATTCCATCCCCTCCTCCCAGATTCCATCCCCTTCTCCCAGATTCCATCCCCTTCTCCCAAATTCCATCCCCTTCTCCCTGATTCCATCCCCTTCTCCCTGATTCCATCCCCTTCTCCCAGATTCCATCCCCTTCTCCCAGATTCCATCCCCTTCTCCCAGGTTCGATCCCGTTCTCCCAGATTCCATCCCCTTCTCCCTGATTCCATCCCCTTCTCCCTGATTCCATCCCCTTCTCCCAGATTCCATCCCCTTCTCCCAGATTCCATCCCCTTCTTCCAGATTCCATCCCCTTCTCCCAGATTCCATCCCCTTCTCCCCGATTCCATCCCCTTCTCCCTGATTCCATCCCCTTCTCCCAGATTCCAACCCCTTCTCCCAGATTCCATCCCCTCCTCCCAGATTCCATCCCCTTCTCCCATATTCCATCCCCTTCTCCCAGATTCCATCCCCTTCTCCCTGATTCCATCCCCATCTCCCTGATTCCATCCCCTTCTCCCAGATTCCATCCCCTTCTCCCAGATTCCATCCCCTTCTCCTAGATTCCATCCCCTTCTCCCAGATTCCATCCCCTTCTCCTTGATTCCATCCCCTTCTTCCAGATTCCATCCCCTTCTCCCAGGTTCCATCCTTTCTCCCACATTCCATCCCCTTCTCCCCGATTCCATCCCCTTCTCCCAAAATCCATCCCCTTCTCCCAGATTCCATCCCCTTCTCCCAGATTCCATCCCCTTCTCCCAGATTCCATCCCCTTCTCCCAGATTCCATCCCCTTCTCCCAGATTCCATCCCCTTCTGCCAAATTCCATCCCGTTCTCCCAGATTCTATCCCGTTCTCCCAGATTCCATCCCCTTCTTCCATATTCCATCCCCTTCTCCCAGATTCCATCCCCTTCTCCCAGATTCCATCCCCTTCTCCTAGATTCCATCCCCTTCTCCCAGATTCCATCCCCTTCTCCCAGATTCCATCCCCTTCTCCCAGATTCCATCCCCTTCTCCCTCATTCCATCCCCTTCTCCCACATTCCATCCCCTTCTTCCAGATTCCATCCCCTTCTCCCAGTTTCGATCCCCTTCTCCCAAGTGCGCCTGGCCGATGTGGGCGACGGTGACAACGACGTGCAGCAGTAGGTGCCATGCCCTTTT